CGCGCGGGGGTCCAAGCCTAGACTTTGGGAAACATTTGATAGCCGCGAGGAGGGATGGGAAGTCGAAGGCGCGCGGGGACACCCGCGGCTGGAGTCCAGCCACGGGGATGGGGGTGGGGGTATAGGAAAGCCCGCTCCCCATCGCCCACCCCTTCTCCAGCCCCAGCCAGGCAGAGCATTTCCTCCGTGGTCTCGAAAAAGTGGCTAGAGCCCTTTGGACCTCGGTCGGAGACAATGATAATTATCCCTCCCCCACCCCCCCGCCCCGCCATATCTCCGCTCCTCCGTTTTGAGGATGGGAGAAAGAATGCGGAAGGTACCAGACAGGCTTCGGGGCTGCGAATTGTGATTTCCATGCTAAAGACCGTCCGACCTATTGAAAAAAGCTGGCTCTAGATTCAGAGAAGGCTCAGGCTCCTTTCCCCGCTGCTCCTGTCCCCGCTGCTCCTGTCTGTGTGACCTTGGGCAGATCCTGATACCTCTTCTGCCTCCTTAGCCTCCCTTAGAGGCTATTGTGAGGTGCCAGTAGAAAAAAAATCAGAGCTCACCTTTTACTGAGCTTCTGCTGTGTCCCAAGCTTCTTGTACCCCCTCTAGGAGGTAAGTACTGTTCCTGGCCCCATTTTACAGAGGAGGAAACTGAGGCTCAGAGAGGCCCAGTGACTTTCCTGAGATAGTCAATGGCAGTGCTGGGAGGGAACCTCCACCACCACGGGGTGCTGCGAATACTGGGTCCTGGGGAGAGGATCAGGTCTGTAGTGTAGCTTTCAACAACCACAGGAGAGCCATGGCGGTGGGGAACATCAACGAGCTGCCCGAGAACATCCTGTTGGAGTTGTTCACGCACGTGCCCGCCCGCCAGCTGCTGCTGCGTTGCCGCCTGGTCTGCAGCCTCTGGCGAGACCTCATCGACCTCGTGACCCTCTGGAAGCGCAAATGCCTGCGTGAGGGCTTCATTACCAAAGACTGGGACCAGCCCGTGGCCGACTGGAAGGTCTTCTACTTCCTCCGCAGCCTCCACAAGAACCTCCTGCATAACCCGTGCGCCGAAGGTGGGGTGCAGACTGGGTATGATGTGCCCCCAAACACACACACTGTCGTGATACCAGCTAACATTCATTAGGTACTTACTATGAGCCAGCCAGGCACTTTGGGGGGTTTAATTCCTTTCTCACAATAATCCTAAGAGGTAGGTACTGTTAGGCACCCATTTTTCAGATGGGAAAACTGAGGCCAAGAGTAGCATTATTCCACTCTTATTCCACTCTGAAGGTTATTTCCCCAGTGACCTTTCCTAGGAGAGGGAATGTTGGCCAGTTGGAATGAATTGTGCCCAAGACACAAGACCAGGAAGTCAGAGCCATATTTTCTTGGCCTGGCTCCCAGACTCCAGGACTAGGCCTACTAGGACTGCCCAGAAGACAAAGGGGGCTTTGCTTATGAGAGAATGAGAGATCCGGTCTTCTTCCCAGCACATTCCAACAAAAGGTAAAACAAGACTTCTGCGGTCATCCAGAGCCCCCTCTTTTCCCTTGCTGTGTTGTAAACGATTAAGTATACACTTTGATGGGATGAGAACCTCAATCTCTATTATGTGGCCAAATTCTGGAGCAAAATGATAGTAAGACAACCCCAAGCTGTCCAGAGCTTTCAGATGCCTGCCTCACTTGACTCCACAACGGCCATGTTCTTGACCAGCATGTTGACAAACTATGGTCCATAAGCCAAATCTGGCCTAGGAGCTACGAACAGTTTTTATGGTTTTAAAGAGTTATTTAAAAACAAAAAACAAGACACTACGTGATAGAGTCAATATGTAGCCCACAAAACCTAGAGTATTCTGACCCTTTATGGAAAAAGTTTGCCAGCCCCTGTTCTTGACCCCGGTTTACAGAGGACAAAACCAAGGCTCAGAGAGAGAAAGCAGCTTGCCTAAGGTCACAGAGCCCAGTATTGGTAGAGCCGGGACTAGACCCAGATCTGTCTGACCGGCACCAGAGCATTCCATCACAGAAGTAGTCTGGTTGTTCCCATCATCAGGATTCCCAGTAGAAATCAGTTACCATGGTGCCTGGCACACAGGCAGCACCTAATACAAGGCAGGCACTGTTGATGTGCAGGGTTCCCCAGCACGGGGCTTGAGGGCAGCTGCTGAAATCCAGGGAGAGGTGCCAGGAGCAAGGGGCACTTGGGAGGCGGCCACTGAGGGGCTTCCCTTTGATACGAACTCTGCTTTCCCACCAGAGGGGTTTGAGTTCTGGAGCCTGGACGTGAATGGAGGCGATGAGTGGAAGGTGGAGGAGCTCTCTGGAGACCAGAGGAAGGAATTCCCCAATGACCAGGTCAAGAAATACTTCGTGACTTCTTATTAGTAAGATCCAAGGGGTCTCGGGGTGGGGGGAAGCCCAAGTCACTGCACCTTGTGGTCTCTCCTGCTCTGGGAGGGGCAGTCCTAGCCCCCCAGTGCCCTAGTGGCGAGCTCCAGCCCCTCCCACCCCTCCACCCACCCCCAGCACCTGCCTCAAGTCCCAGGTGGTGGACCTCAAGGCTGAAGGGTATTGGGAGGAGCTGATGGACACCACACGGCCAGACATCGAGGTGAAGGACTGGTGAGTGCTTGGGGCGAGGGTTTGGGGGGGGCCCTGCCACTCAGGTGCCCCACCCCCACCCTGCCCCCCATCTCCAAGGCCCTGAAGGGCCCTTCCTCTGCCTGCAGGTTCGCAGCCAGGCCAGACTGTGGGTCCAAGTACCAGCTGTGTGTTCAGCTCCTGTCATCAGCGCATGCGCCTCTGGGGACCTTCCAGCCAGACCCAGCAACCATCCAGCAGAAGAGCGATGCCAAGTGGAGGGAGGTATGTGAGCCGGGAAGGGGACAGGGGGCACATTGTCCAAGGCTGAGACTGGAGTCAGACAGGCCCAAGTTGAGATCCCAGTTCTGCTGCTTCTTACCTGGGCTTTGGCTGCTCTGAGCTCTCAAAGATTATCAGTGAGATGATGCTGGTAAAGCCATGTTCAAAAAGATTGACTATTATTAATTACTAATATCAGTTATTACTATTATCTAGGTTAGGGTTCAGTGAACTTTTTCTTGGAAGGCCAGATACAAATAGTTTAAGCTTTGCAGGTTTTACTGTATCACAACTACTCAGCTCATCAATTCTGCCGTTGTGTTGTGAAAGCAGCTTTAGCAAATGGGCACGACTGTGTTCCAATAAAACTTTATTTACAAAACCTGGCAGTGGGCCAGTGGGCCTAGACCATAGTTTGCCAACTCCTGATCCAGACCAGTGCCCTCCAGTAGAACTTACTGCAGTGCTAGAAATGGTCTGTCTGGGACTTCCCTGGTCTGGACTTGGCGCTTTCACTGCCATGGCCCCAGGTTCAGTCCCTGGTCAGAGAACTAAGATCCTGCAAGTGGTGTAGCACAGCCCAAAAAAAAAGAGAGAAAGAGAGAAATGGTCTGTCTGCCCTGTCCAGTTTGGTAGCCAAGAGCCACATGTGACAATTGAAAACTTAATAAGAGCCAGTTCATAGTATGACTAGGAACTGAATTTTTAATTTTATCCAACTTTAATTAATTTTAACTTAAATAGCCACATGTGCTCAGTGATGACTGTATTGGACATCCTTTGGCAGCTTGCAAAATTTCCTTCAGTTCATTTGATCTGCACTTAGATAATCCCGTGGAGTGGACCCAGTAGGATTTTGCTCCATTTTACAGATGAGGAAACTGAGGAGGCACAGACAGGGGAGGTGGCCTGCCCCAAATCAGAGTGAGGACTAGAATTCCATTCTGCTGACTCTGGGTTGAGCACTGAGACCTCAGCCCATCCTGGTCCCCTCACCCCCTCAGGCAGTACCCCGCTCAGGGTCAACTCCCCTGACCGCTCTCCTTCCCTCCACCTGCCCTCACCCCCCAGGTCTCGCACACGTTCTCCAACTATCCACCCGGCGTCCGCTACATCTGGTTTCAGCACGGCGGCGTGGACACTCACTACTGGGCCGGCTGGTACGGCCCGAGGGTCACCAACAGCAGCATCACCATCGGGCCCCCACTGCCATGACACCCCCGAGCCCCCAGCCACCTAACCCCAACTGATAAACTGCTGTCAGAGATGGGCTGGGCTTGGGAAGGGGAGGTAGAGGCCAGGCTCTCCCAGACTTCCTAGCTCATCCTTGCCCCCCCCCCACCCCGAGTTGCCTCTTCATGGAGCCTCTTCGTTTGTACGGCCTTCATATGTTATGGGTAGCTAGCTCTCTGCCCGGGGGTCTCAACCTGAGGTTGGGGGGGTGCATGGTGTTCCCCCAGGCTCCTCCCCCAGATGCCTCTGAGGGAGGGCTTCATATGTATGGGTAGCTAGCTCTCTGCCCGGGGGTCTCAACCTGAGGTTGGGGGGGTGCATGGTGTTCCCCCAGGCTCCTCCCCCAGATGCCTCTGAGGGAGGGTCTCCAAGCTCTGGTGGTAACTTAGATCTAGGTGTCTACCTTCCCTTGCCGGGTTATTTCTCACTGTCTTCTTTGAGGGCCCTCAGACCTGGGACAGTCAGGACATCTGGCAAGCCTGTGGCTGCCCTGCATCATACAGATGCTGAGCGATGATGTAGCTCAGACAGGTCTGGGAGTGGACGGACGGCTCTGCTGGCCCATCCTCTGCCCCATTCTCTGCCACTCCCAGGCTTTCTCACTCTGTCTGCCTGCTTAGCGAGGTGGCTTTGGTCCAGAGGCTCAGGCCTGGTCTGAAGTAGGCAGGCCCAGGGTGGGGTGGGGTCCCGGCCAAGTCTGGACTCTCTTCACTGTCAGTGAAGCCCCAGAAGCCACATGTGTATTAAGTGAGGGCAGGGCTCTCCAAAAGACCCCCCTGGAATCCTGCACACGGCAACCCAGGGCAGGTGGGGGGCAGGATTGGGCCCTGAGAGCTGGGATGTGTGAGCCCTGGATGAGTGGGATGCGGTGGGGGGGGGGGGGGGGGGGGGCCTGTCCACCTCCATGCCTAGGCCAGGCACTCTGTGGCTTGGAGAGCATTCCAAGCCCCCACCCTACCCTTGGAACTGCCATTCCCAGGACCTCCCCACCCTGTCGGACCACGTTCCTGCCTCTCCTTCCTGCTGGAAAGAGAGCAGTTCTCCTAACCCTGATGCATGTGGCCAAATAAAAGGTGTTCCCAGCCCAACGTGTGCCCTGTGCTTTCTGGGGGAAAAGGCAAACTTCCTGGGAGGTCTTGCCCCTTGCTTGTAGAAGCTGCAACTTATATGTGGCTCTGTCCGAGGTACAGGGAGGGGCTGACATTTCAGGAGCCAGACTTTGAAGAATGAGGGTCCTGGGACAGACCCCTGGACAAGCTGCAGACATCTCGCACGCAGCAGCCCTCCAGTACTGCCACCTTCCTCTGGAGGCCTGGCCGCAGGCTGGCGGTGGAGTGTGCAGCTATCTTGGGCAACTCTTGCCATCCCAGGCACTACTTACTGTTGTTTTTTTTTTTTACTGCCCAGAGCTTTACTGATAATAGACGAAGCCAAAGAATTTATAATGGTGCCTGGCACACAGTAGGTGCTCAATAACTACTGTTAAATTGCATTGTCTGACTCAACAGTGCGCTAGATTAGGGCCTCAACCAGGGCAAGGGCTGTTATGCACCAGGGTTCTTGGCCTCCTTAATCAATAGAAATTGATAAGAGGCCAGACAAGAGTTAAAGATAAGGCTTTCCTGGGACCCCTGCTGCAGCAAGAGGGAGTGAAATCAAGCAACAGTTTCCCTTGCTGGATCCCTCGCTCACTCTCGGGGAGTGGGGGAGCTGGTTCCTTGTATGGTGGCTTAGGTGGTCTGCCCACCCCTTTGGTGGTGGTGTGTGCGGCGGGCATGTGCAGTACCCTGCTTTTGCTCCCAATGCTCTGTTTTTGGGCTCTTCAGAAGTGGCAGTTGGGTTTTTGGTCTTTTTGTATCTTGTTGTCCATAATTTGCCCCAACTGCACATGCACACAGTTATTTTTAGTCCCTTATGGTTTCTTTGTAGCTTGTCAGCTCAAGGAGATTGTCCAGGTGCGAGCACTGCAGCAAAGGGTCCCAGGTCCCAGCCTGTCTCGGCACCACCACCCACTAACTGTATGGCAAGTTAGTGAAACACTCTTCCTCGGAGAATATGCAGCCCTGAGTTAACAACCTGGCCTGGATCAGGCACCCTTGGGCAGTGCACACCCTGCATGATCCCTTGTTGTTGGCTGAAGTAGGTGCTTGATAATTATTTGTGGAATGAAGAAAGGAACGAATGAACTTAATCCCAGCAAAAACGCTGAGCGGTTTTTACCTCTGAGTAAGTCCTAGGGACGGTACGAACCAGGCTCAAGGCCAGAGTTTCAGCAGTCACCCTCCAGGCGGGGGCCCACCTCCCTCCCTGCAGGGAACCGGAATAGAGGTCTAAGGAGTGGCCCCCAGAGGGGAAGGGCTAGGTCAGAAGGAGGCTCCGGCCTACCGGAGGGAAGTGGGAGCAGAGAGAAATTGGGTCCCCACTGCTGAGCCACCCACCGCCTGGAAGGAAAGACAGCTTCAGGAAACGAGGTCTGGAGCTCCCCTGACGCCGCCCCGACCCTGAGGACACCAGATTTCTTTGCTCGCGCCTGGGGAAGTGGTCCCGGCGTGGGGCGGGGCGAAGTCGCGGGAGCAGCAGGCAGGGGCCGCGAGGGAGGCGGCCTGAGCGCGGCGCGTGACGCAGGCGCCGGGCGGGGCGACAGCTGACGGCGCCGCCGAGGCCGTAGGCTCCAGGCAGACCCCGAGCTCAGGTCGCGCCGAGCGCTCCGACCCGCGCCCAGGTCTCGGTCCAGGCAGGGGACGGGTAGGGGGGCGACAGGTGCAGGAGAGGGCTTGGATGTTCGGCGCTGGGGGGTCGTCGGGACGTTAACCGAGCCCGAAGACGCTGTCTCCGGCCGGCCGGGAAGCCGGCAGCCGCGGGAGGGGTGCTGGGGGGAGCCGCTTCCGGGCGGGGCGGGGCGGGGCGCGGGGCGAGGCCAGTGTCTAGGGTCTGATAGCTCGGCGCGGAACGCTTCGCCTCCCGGCTTGGCCGTCCCGGAGTATCCTCGGCGTCCGCGGCCACTCCGGCTTAACCTCGCGTGCAGCGACCCGGCCAGGGGACAGTCTAGGAACTCGGCACCGTCACGCCCGCAGGGCCTGGGACGGGGGCCTAACTTCCCCGAGCCGCAGTTTCCGTTTTCGAAAATGGGCTTAGTAACAGTGTCTCGAGTGGTTGTAGGGAGGGTCTATGGAGAAAAGGCCAGCGTGTGGCTCTGGGCCTAGTACGTGGGAAGCCCAGTCGATGCGAGGTGGCTTCTTAGGGCTGATGTGGACGTTTCCACCCCAGAATGCCCCAGGATGACCTTCACCCCCTCCACCCTTCGGCATTCAGGCTTTGGGGATGGAGTCTAGTGATGACATGCGACCAGAGCGAAAGACCAGACTTTGGACGATAGGTCGAGCAGGTGTTTGTACCTAAAACGCCTCTAACTTGGAGCCCAGGGACTTTTATTTGGCCTAGACAATGCTTTTAGAAGTTGCCAACATTTAAAATTTGACAGATTTCATGTTTTTAAAAAATGTTTTAAATTCCTGAGAAATGGGAAGACCTGGCCGCATGGAGTATTTTTCCATCATAGCATTTTGCACAAGCTGCAAGTACCTTATTTATCTGTTTTTTGGGGTTTTTTTTCTCTGATAATGGAAAAATTCTTCTCCCTGGGCAGGTGCCAGAGTGTGTGCCCACCCTCATTTTTTTAATGGGATGAAAGCTTTGAGAAGACTGTGAGGTGTGTGAAAATTAAAAAAGGGAAACCTCACTAAAATTGAGTCAGGAAATGAGGAAGAGGAACACTTGACAGTCAGTACAATCCCAACATCAAGAGGCATACTTAGCATACCTGGCAGGAAGCGAGACTATTACTGCCAGCAGGAGGAAAAAATGATTTTCTCCTTGCCTGGCAACAGCTCAGCCAATGAGAGACTGCCACAACTCAACCAATGAAAAGCCATTATACTTCCAACTCCCCGTGTTTTCCAATGGGCTTTTTGTTTATAACGGCCCCACCCAATTTTCCCTTCTCCTCTGTAAAAGAGTCTCTTCTCCTTTGCTTAACAGGACTTGTAAGTGGTTCGCCATAGTTGCATGTCCTGCCTTGCAGTTATTTGCTGCTCCCAAATAAACCTGTTTTGCTAGTAAAATAAGCGGCTATTTTATTGTTTTAGGTTAACATTACACGGAGGTTTCACTGAGATCCAGAGAAGACCCCCAACAACTCCGAGGCTGGTGAGCAAACAGGTGCTGGTACCCACAGATCCCACAGAACTCACTGCTTTCTCACCAACTTTGCAGTTTGAGGGTAAGTTTTTCTCCTGGATCTGAGCTCCGCTCTTTTTGCGTTTTGAAGCTCTCCAGGTTTTATTTGGGATGTGTTTGAAGGCTTCGTCCTTTTTTGTTAAGGCCTTGTTTGTCTGTGAGTACTTGGTAGGCACTTTGGCCTCACTCTTGAAAATACGCTTTTGCAACTGGAACTGTGCTAGCTTTCAGTCCGACTACTTTTGGAACCAGGCTGTTCCTATTGAAACTGTGCTGGTATTTGGCCTGTGGGCTGTTTAAGAATGATTCTTTTGCTCTAGAGAAGAGCCCCTGAAAAATGGGATCCCAGTTATCTAAATGTTATGAGGGTGTCCCCCCTTTTCAGGGACCCTGGGCAATTTTATTTTTAAAAACTCCTGTCTCTCCTTATATACATTTTTAACTAAATGGACCAATTGAAACAGACGTAATTTAGAACATCAGTAACCAACATGGGGAACTTCTGAACTCCCCAAACTTCCTTTCTTAAAATTGTGTTAGACAGCCACAGATCTGCAGTTGTCAAAACTGAACTGGACACCAATTTTGATTGGTATTTTAAGGCTTCCAAAACGTATCAGGAGTCTAAAATTGCCTCTTTGCAATATACAATTTTTAAAGTAACTGAGGCAAATAAAATATTAAAATAAGACAAAATGGCTTCTGAGGTCTCTTTTTCCCCTACCCCGTCTTCTTTGTCTCTGGATGCTGGCAGTCCTCTTGTGCTCAAGCCCATCCCAGGCGCCATCTTCCTTTCCTTCTGCACCTCCCCAGTCTAGTTCTCTCGCTGAACTTCCCTTTTTCCCTACAGCTCCGCTGACTCTCCCTGCTCCCTCCTCTGAGCCTATCAGAACCTCCTCCTTAAAGTTAATCTTCTGAGGAT